TGTGTGTGTGTCAGGGCTAGTGTCACTGTGTGTGTGTCAGGGCTAGTGACACTGTGTGTGTGTCAGGGCTAGTGACACTGTGTGTGTGTCAGGGCTAGTGACACTGTGTGTGTGTCAGGGCTAGTGACACTGTGTGTGTGTCAGGGCTAGTGACACTGTGTGTGTGTCAGGGCTAGTGACACTGTGTGTGTGTCAGGGCTAGTGACACTGTGTGTGTGTCAGGGCTAGTGACACTGTGTGTGTGTCAGGGGGCTAGTGACACTGTGTGTGTGTCAGGGGGCTAGTGACACTGTGTGTCAGGGGGCTAGTGACACTGTGTGTCAGGGGGCTAGTGACACTGTGTGTCAGGGGGCTAGTGACACTGTGTGTCAGGGGGCTAGTGACACTGTGTGTCAGGGGGCTAGTGACACTGTGTGTCAGGGGGCTAGTGACACTGAGTCAGTCAGTGGAATCGTGGCACTGTGGGTGTCTAAGAGTACTGACTATGCATCTTTCCTTTGCACACAATGCTATTAGACGGCTCCTTCTGTAGTGAACCTCCGAGAGCTTCGTGGCCGCCTGGTGAAAGAGGACCCAGACCTTGTGTTGATTAATAAACCCCACGGACTGCCTGTGCATGGTAAGACTGGAACTGGGATGGGGGCATGTTTCCCAGTAGGCGGAGTAGTAGAAGTGAAATACTGTCCCTAGGAAAGATTTCAGTTTTCTGTTAGAAATCCCGGGATATTCGTTTCTTTTGCCAGATTCACTATCCCATTCTTTCCTTTGTCATGATGAACCATCGCGGGGTTAATGGTGCTCCGGTCTGCCTCTGTATTAGAGGCAGACTGGGAGCACCCGATAGTGCTGCCCCAGCACATGTGCTCGCTCTGACAGCCTGTCAAAGCGAGCACATGTGCTGCATATACTCACCTTCTGCCTCCTTGCACTTCCTGGTTCTGTGTGAAGTGCAATAAATTGTAACCTCTTCTCTGCCAATTGATCACGGACTACAGTGATTAATTGGCAAGGATTACATTTTACTGTCGTCCCTTTTTTTTTTTTTTTTTCTCTTCAGGGGTTAAATTTTAAGTAATTTAAATATTTTAAAATTATATATTTAGCTAGCTGGGGTGGGTGGAAGTTAGTGGGGAATTGGGGGATTTGGTGTTAGGCTAACTAGGGGTTAACGTTTAAAGTTTTAAAATAAACTTTAAAAAGTTAAAAAAAAATAAGCTAAAAAAAAATTTTTTTAATAACATTTAAGTAAAAAATAAATTAAAAACACCCCCCTTTACCCAGTCCAAATAAAAATTAACTCCTTCCCTGCCAGTCGATCACTGCCTACAGTGATCAAAATACAGATTTAAAAAAAAAAAAAATTTAATCCCTGAGGATTAACTTTTATTTATATTTTAACCCTCAAGGATTCAATTTAATTAATTTAAATATTTTATAATGATATATTTTGCTAGCTGGGGTGGGAGGGAGTTATGGGGAATTTACTGTTAGTGCTGCTTACTGCTAGTTGGGGGTTAATGGTAAAAAAAGGTTAGAAAAATGTTAATTTTTTTTTTTATTATTTTTTTTTTACAGATTTAAGAAAGTTTAGGAAAGTTTAACCCCTTAAGGACCAAACTTCTGGAATAAAAGGGAATCATGACATGTCACATGTCATGTGTCCTTAAGGGGTTAAAAAAATTAATAAGCAAAACAAAAGTTTAAAAACTAGTTTTTAAAAGTAAAAAAGTAAAAAAAAAAAATACATTTAAAAACGCTCATTACTATTACACCTGGAACAAACTAGAGAAAAAATGATCCCACGCTGAGGTTCAAAATATTCCTTTTGAATTACCCCAGGGTGTATTCTTTAATAAATAGTATGTGTTTGTGGGGAAGTTTCAATAACCAACCGTCTAAACTACTCCAAATTGAAACATTGACACAGCGTAAAACTTCAACGTTAGGAAAAATTCTGAATGGCTGCGTCTCAAATGTGCCCCTTCAACATCCACATATACCTGGCAAAGGTACATACGGGGGTATTGCTGTACTCAGCCGACATAGCTGAGCAACATATGAAGTATTATACAGTCGTAGCACACATAAGGTTTGCAAAATATACTGCGCAAACTCACTTCGTGTGTCAAAAAGGCGGAAAAATGCTTATTACCACTACACTTAGTACAAGATAACGGAAAAATTATCCCACGCTAAGGTTCAAAATATACCTTTTGAAATACCGTGGGGTGTCTACTTTAAGAAATGGTAGGCCTTTGTGGGGTAGTTTGAATTTAAACCCTTCTAAAATGCTTGGAAATTGCACATAGGCACAGCGTCAAAATTCAAAGTTCGGTAAAAACTGATATGGCTTGGTCTCCTATATGGCACTGTAGCTTCACGAAATAGTGCCAAAGACATTCATTGGGGGTGTCTTTTTACTCAGAAGACTTAGCCGAGCTGAGCATAATTTGGGGGTTTGAACTTAGTGGCACATGTGAAATATGCAAAATGCCCAGCAAAAATGCAATCCATATGTAAAAAACGCACAATTATTTTTTTTATCACTTACTTTGGCATATGTTGGTGAAAAAATGGGGGCATGTTAAGGCACAATATGCACATTATGAGATACCTTGGAGTGTCTACTTTTACAAATGGTAGGCCTTTGTGGTTTTTTTTGAACAGTTAAACTGTTATAATACCCCAAATGGAAGCTAAGGCTCATTAAATCCGTCTCTCAAAAGGCTACTGTAAATACTGAAAAGGACAGGTCTCCTATATGACACTGTAGCTTCACAAAATAGTGCTAAAGACCTACAATGGGGGTGTCCTTTTACTCAGCAGATGTAACTGAACACAAAATAAAACTTTGTACAGGAATAGCACACACCAACTTTACAAAATATACATGAGAATTTCTTTGTTATAAGTTTGTGTTCCAAAAACCCCCCACAATTTTACTCCAATATTTAGCAGAGGTTGGCGGTGAAATGGCTACGTAGAAAGTGTCAAAACAACCCTAGGTAAATAGCTCGTGATGTCTACTTTATATAAATATATACTTTTGTGTGGCAATTTTGTTTTCTTTTATGGCTATTAAGCTTACAAGACAAACATACCAAATTCTAAAATCGCTCCACATTAAAAGTCTATTTTACTCCTTGTGCTTTGTGACCTGCAACTACCAAAAAAAAACTTAAAATCCCAGACACATTATATATTCTGTAAATCAGCTCACCGCACCTAGATTGTAAGCTTTGTTGATAAGATTCGTCTTTAACCTCTCATTTGCTGGTATCTTATCTTTTGTCACGGTTGTTTTCTGTTATACCACTAAATTACAGCATAAAAAACAAACATAGAAAAAAGGCGCGCCTTTAATAAAAGTAATGTATATTAAAAAACAGATAAAAATACAAGTAGAAATTTTTTGAATATAAAAGTCCAGGATAATAGTCCACAGCCAATAGAGTAGGTTCTCGTAGATCAATAGTGGTTTATATTTTCCAATGGAGACTTGGATTTTCAATAGGTCATATGTGGAGAGAAATGGAGAAAGGATACGATAGTGCAGTGTGTATGTGTGTGTGTATATGTATATGTATATGTATATGTATATGTGTATGTATATGTATGTGTGTATGTATATGTATATATATATACACATACATACATACATACATACATACATACACACACACACACACACACACACACACACACACACACACACACACACACTTACACACTTTCCAGAGCTAAATTCCAGCTCTGGTGTGAAGTGCATGAAGTGGAAAGATCCCCACTCAAGGATATATGGAGTAGTAATTCCCCAGGAGTTCCAACCGAGAATAAAATATATAGTGCTCACTGGTTAACTGAAGTGTAGATAAAGAATATGAAATGTACTCACAATGTACTGAGCAGACTTCCTGCTCAGATAGTAGCATATGGGTGGTATAATCCCCACCTTGGGATTCTTTGGCGTTCCTTAAGGCAGTGTAAATCCAAATAGTCAGGTTAAAAATGGTTAAGATTATAAAATTTAATAATATTAGGAATGTGGCTACAACAAAGGTATTTTTAAGGCCCAAATTCCTTTTATTACAATAATATAAGACAAATAAAATAAAATTCTAAATGTGTTTTGCCACAACAGGGAAAAATTATAAAATTAAAATTAGACATTTTTTACATTATAAAAAATTTAAAATTATAAAAGTTTATAAAAATGTTTTATTTATAAGAAATTTAAAAAGGTTGAATTCTATATTAAGACCTTGTGGGGTAAGAGTTTTTAAATTAAATATCCATTCCATCTCTTTACTACCTAAAATCTTTTTAATATCACCACCTCTCCAGGGAATATTGCACGTATCTATACCTATGCATTTCAATAGTTTAGGGTTCTTATCGTGTAGTAAATGTTTTGATACTGAATGATTTACGTACCCTTTACGGATATTTCGACAGTGCTCTACCAATCTAACTTTTAATTCTCTGGTGGTCATGCCTATCTATTGAAGTCCACATGGACATTCTAATAAATAGATTACATTTTTGGTGCTACAATGAATAAATTTTTTTATAAGATACTTTCTTTGTGAAATAGATGATTTAAAAGAAATAGTTTTTGATTTAACAGTATTATCCGTATGTTTACATACTGTGCATTTATTACATCTAAAAAAAAACCTTTAGGCTTCATCGGAATGGGAGAGGGGCAAGGAGGAAGGCTAGTTTTATTTTGTTTAGTATAATTTTTTGTAAGGATGGATTTAAAGCTTGGAGCCCCTCTAAATATAACATGTGGTTTGTCGGGGATAATACCAGCTAGAGTCACATCCTGTTTTAATATATGCTAATGTTTCTTAATAATCTTCTTCATAACATTGTTTTTGTTATTGAAGTCGAAAATAATTGGCAATGATGGGGCATTTTGAGAAACTTTTTTTTTTCTTTGTAATTTAAAGGGTCCAATCTGTCTTTCTCCCTGACCGTTTTTATAGTTTTGTTTAAATTATTTGTCGGATAATTTTTTTTTTGTGTGTGTAAATTTATTTAATAATATTTGAGATTGGGTTTCAAAATCTTGAGTAAGAGAACAGTTCCTCCGAAGACGGAGGAACTGGCTTTTAGGTATTCCATGTAGCCATGTTTTGTAATGGCAACTTGATGTATCAATCACATTGCTAGTGCACACTTTAAAAAAAAAAAAAAAAAAGTTTTAGTTTAAACTTTATTATTTGTAATAAAGATTTATAAATCTAAAAAGTGAATAGAAGATGGACTGTACTCATGTGTTAAAACTATACCATTGTTATTACAATTTAAAAAGGATAAAAATTGGTTTAGGGAGCTTTCTGAACTTTCCCAGATAAAAAAAGGCTTCAATATATCTAAAATATGAGACCAGGTTTGCCCTCCAATCATGCTCTCCAAGAATGGCCGTGGATTCCCACTCAGCCATAAAAAGGTTAGCATAACTGGGTGCAAACCTGGTCCCCATAGTAGTCCCTTGTTTTTGTAGATAAAAAGAATCTAAGAACCAAAAGTAGTTATTTTTTAAAATAATATTAATGCCTTGGATTATAAAATCAGTCTGTTTTTATATGTGATTTTCTTCTCTGCCCTTAAAATGTTTTCGACTGCGCGGCAGCCTTTCTCATGGGGAATAATCGTATATAACGACTGCACATCACATGTAACTAGTAGATATGTGTCTTTCCAAATAAAATTGTTTAAAAAGCGGAGTAGAGTCATTGAATCTTTCAAGTATGATTGCATACATTTTACAGAAGGTTGTAAGAGAATATCCAAATATTCTGATAGGTTTGATAATATTGAATTAATACCAGATACAATCGGTCTACCAGAAGGATTTTTTTCATCTTTGTGAATTTTTGGTAGGAAATAGATGACTGGGATTTTAGGATAAGAAACATTTTAAAAACTCATACTCTTGTTTGTTTATAATATTTTGTTCTCGGCCACTATTTAAAAATTAAATTAAAATCTGTTGAATTTTTGGAGTCGGATCTCGTGATAATTTTTCATACTCATTAAAATCATTAAGTTGTCTCATGGCTTCTCCTTCATAAAGATCTTTAGCTAATATCACAAAACCTCCCCCCGCCCTTTATCGGCTGGCTTTATGCTTTCATCTTTCTGTAGTTGTAAAAGAGCCTTGCGTTCTAATTGTGAGAGATTATCTTGATTATATTTATCTTTAATTTTTTTCAAAGTCTCTTATAACCAATTTTTCGAAAACCTCTAAAGGACCTGTTTTAAAACTCGATGGGAAGAAAACAGAATTCGTTTTTTAAAGGGGTAGATATTATCCTAGAACAGTCATCTGGTAAAGTAGCTGGGGATATGTGCATAACTGTATCCTGGTTTTTACTGGCAAAGAATCTTTAGAGTAGCCTTCCTTACAAATTTATTAATGTCTATAAATGCTTTGAATGGCTTATAGGGATTCGTTGGAGCAAACTTCAGTCCTTTACTAAGGACTGATGTTTGTGTAGCTGTTAAAGCTTTTTGTACTAAATTACAGGACTGCAAATACAAGTAGTAATAACATTGTAAACTATGGCTCTGTTCACTAAACTTCTAATTGTAGTATAAAATCATCTGATCTTTAAAATGGAATACTCGCCAGAACGTTTATGTGTAGCTATAGAAAATACAATGGATCTACAGTGAGAGAAAAATAGAATCCGTAGTGTAATATCATAAGTACACCATATAGTGTACTTCAAGATTGCACTCACAAACGGATATTGATTGCAGGTACATCAATTATCAAAGGTTGGCACAAGGTCTTCCACTCGTGAATGAGCATGTAAGAGAGGATATATACCAATAAGTGCAGACTGTTAACCTGGTTGAGTGCTTTAGTTAGTAACACTTAGAAGATCGTAGTGATATATATGCATATCAAATCCCAGGATGTTATAATCATCAACAGCAGTCTGTGGGTTGTCTCAATGGAGGTAAGGAGAAAAACGCTTCCTCAATTGGCAGAACAACTTATTAAATCTAAAAATAGAGGGGGCGGAGCCTGACCGCTGAACATATCAGACATGTCCTGTCTGAGCTCTGGCACCTGGGCCAGAAATTGAGAGCCAACTCCGTGCCACCCAATCTATTCACAAGATGAGGGCGCACACGATGATATCGCTTCTGACTCGATACGGCACTGGAGTAACCTGACCGAGACCTGGGGCCTACCTGAGCTTGAGCCGGGGAGAGACGGCCGGTTCTCCGAACGGCGTCCTGCTGTCTCCCCCTCCCTGGTCCCCACGGGCAACCAACACCGACAACTGCCTGGCCCAAGTACAAATTAAGCCACAGAATAAAACCCAGATGGCGGATGTCCCGCAGCCACATGGGCATGCAGAGAGCGAACCACCAAAGAGCGCAAGCACACCCAAACTGCAGAACCGACTTGCGAATCCCGCATGCCCCAGGGGAAAGCAGCTTCCCTCCCCAAGCGGCTACAAGCGGAGAGACAAAGGGCGGGAAATGAGGGGTCCCCCCTGGGCACTCTCAACACACAAAACCTTACAAGATGAGCCCACTCAGGCGGAAAACAACCAGGGGATTACCCCCGGAACATCAGCCACAGGCGCGGAGGATCCACACCAGGACTTTCAACAGCCCCTACACAGGGAAGAACGCGGCCCTCTCCCGGAGTAACCAAACTCGCAGTCCACAAATGCAGGTCCCCAGGACAGTTCACGACCCTGAGGAGGGCTTACCAGAACTAGGCCATCAGACTGCCCATAGCCCCCTCCGCTCACCATCAAGCCTAGGCATTGGCTAACTCTGGACTCTTGAAATGCTGTTCCATCCCTGCAAGCGAAGAAACCAGACTGTACCTGCATCCCCACATACCCCTTGACTTACCTGACAACCATGCAGCACCACCAGTATCTAGAGCACACCTAACGCACATACCATGACACCGCATTTGACGGACACACAATACCGCCGTTAATCCTACTATACGCAGGCCCTGACAACAACCCCCACAACTAACGACATAGACCTCAGACCTGTCTAGGGGAGCATTGGTAGACCAGACACACAAAATTCTACACACTACACGTTGGTACCTGTGGCAGACGAAGCTAGAGTACAACTGTACAGCCCAAACAACACCATAGCGACCAGACATTCACGCGATTATAGCTTGTAAACACTTAACACTGTTGTACAAACTACAGTGAAGCTACTTGTAACTCCAAACTATGCTTGTTATCTAATGCTCCTATTGCTAGATCTGACAACACACTCTGTGAATAATATTGGAGCTCCACATACTTAAAGGTTATAATATAAAATTGTGCAGATCCTCTATATGCCATGTTTGACCATGTATGATGATGTTATGCTTGTGACTGCTATTGTAGCAACACGGCCAGCTTGTAATACCTTGCACACACAAATAAAGAATTAAAAAAAAAAAAAAATACACGTGTGTGTGTGTGTGTGCGCGTGTGTGTATATATGTGTGTGTGCTCTGAATTTAATACGTACGTGGTGTGCCGAAACCAGCCCTGTAAATAAGAGTGCCCACCAAGGAAAATGTAATTATAACAGGGTGTAGGTGGGTAGGGACAATCAGCTGAGCGGTGAGGAGGGGCTGGGAGTTTAAGTAGGGGACTTACTCCTACCACAAATTCAGGCCTAATGGCCTTTCTACTTGTGCTCGGAATTTAATCCGTAATGGATAGTATCTGTAAGGACAAAGTTGGTTGTGGTGTGCCGAAACCAAGGTACGAGTGGGCCTGTAAATAAGAGGGCAGAAGAGAAGTTCGAGTAAATACACACTTTATTGCCTTCTTACATAACCAAGTTCCTGAAAGCTTGACGAAGCTCTTTTTCTGGCCGTGGAATATAAGTATGGTATATGGAGGGTTTCCATCACCCCAGTCTCTTGATGATGTGGACCGGTGTATTAGTGCTGGAGGCTGAAGAGGCGGCTCCTATGCGAAAGGAGAATGAAGTCTGATTGAAACCCAGTTTAGATAATAGTGTTCTGACGTGAGACGTGAATTTAGCAGTGGTAAGCGGGTGCCCTTGTATCGATAAGAGCGGAGAGTCTGGTAAGTGTGCGTGAAGGGTTGACCGTAGGTGGTCTAGCACCTTGACCGGACACCAGGCATTATCAGTAGGGAAGAGAGGAATTTCAGTGGGGTGTAGTGAATGGTTGGTTTTAGTTGACGGGAACGAAAGTAGATAGTGATCCTCCACCTTTGTGAGGTGCGATGTTTTTAGGCTGTGCGTGATATCCCCTTGACGAACAACGGTGAACTCTCTAGGTCCGAGAAAACCGTAGAAAGCAAGATAGATAGCCGCTTTGATCACCAGGTTTGTGTCGGGATCAAACTGGGATTCGTCAAGGAGATTGCTAAGTGATCTGAAGATAGGCCCATCTATAGGTAGTCTTTTGATAGTGAGAGCAGCTGAAACCTTTAACATACCTTTCAATACCTTTTTAATGGGATATGATGACAAGAAGGGGGTGTTAGGAAAATTTGTGAGGCTATGGTGCTGCACCCCGGTGAGGTAAAGTTTTATGGTGTTGTGGGAAAGTTTAAGATGTAAGTGGCAGAAAGAGGCAAAAGCCACCATGGTTTGTATAGAAAGGTCGCCTTGTAAACCGAATTCTGCAGTGAATTTGTTAAATATGGTAAGTGCCCTATTATATAAGAGAGCTGTGTTAGGTGATAGTGCTTGGTGAGTGAGAGTCCTAGCGTGATGCATTAGTGTGCTCAGTCCAGGATTAGTTCGTGAAACTGTGGTGTCCTGGAAGGCTGGTGGTGAGCCGTAGGGA